TATGTTATGTTGTGTGTAGAAATTTCCGCCCTACTTGTTCGGCTTCTTATAGGTGGATTTCCGACGCAATTTTACATGGGAATTTCCATGTGACGTACCCAACCCATTTGTGTCAATGGAAACGAGGAGTTGGCCGAAACTTGTATGGACAATCAACTTGATGTGTAAGCTACTTGGGGGGCGTCACGGTGCTGGGCCCCGCAAGCAGGCCTCGAAAGTGGCGACAGTTTCACAGATCGCAGCCCCATAGGGATGGCGAGGTCTAGTTTGAATCTGCGTGTGGCGTCACTGTGCTGGGCCCCCCAGCAGGCCTCGAAAGTGGCGACAGTTTCACAGATCGCAGCCCCCCAGGGATGGCGAGGTGTAATTTGAATCCGCCGTGGGTACCCACTGTGCTGGGCCCCCCAGCAGGCCTCGAAAGTGGCGACAGTTTCACAGATCGCAGCCCCCCAGGGATGGCGAGGTCTAATTTGGGTCCGCGCGTGGGTCACTGTGCTGGGCCCCCAAGCAGGCCTCGAAAGTGGCGACGTTTCACAGATCGCAGCCCCCCAGGGATGGCGAGGTCTAATTTGAATCTGCAGTGGGTACCCACTGTGCTGGGCCCCCCAGCAGGCCTCGAAAGTGGCGCCAGTTTCACAGATCGCAGCCCCAGGATGGCGAGGTCTAATTTGAATCTGCAGCGGGTACCCACTGTGCTGGGCCCCTCAGCAGGCCTCGAAAGTGGCGCCAGTTTCACAGATCGCAGCCCCCCAGGGATGGCGAGGTCTAAATTAAATCTGCGGTGGGTACCCACTGTGCTGGGCCCCCCAGCAGGCTTTGAAAGTGGCGACAGTTTCACAGATCGCAGCCCCCCAGGGATGGCGAGGTCCCATTTGAGTCCGCCGTGGGTACCCACTGTGCTGGGCCCCCCAGCAGGCCTCGAAAGTGGCGCCAGTTTCACAGATCGCAGCCCCCCAGGGATGGCGAGGTCACATTTGAGTCCGCCGTGGGTACCCACTGTGCTGGGCCCCCCAGCAGGCTTCGAAAGTGGCGACAGTGTCACAGATCGCAGCCCCCCAAGATGGCGAGGTTCAATTTGAATCTGCAGTGGGTACCCACTGCGCTGGGCCCCTCAGCGGCCCTCGAAAGTGGCGACAATTTCACAGATCGCAGCCCCCCAGGGATGGCGAGGTCTAATTTGAATCTGCGGTGGGTACCCACTGCGCTGGGCCCCCCAGCAGGCCGCGAAAGCGGCGACAGTTTCACAGATCGCAGCCCCCCAGGGATGGCGAGGTTTAATTTGAATCTGCAGCGGGTACCCACTGTGCTGGGCCCCCCAGCAGGCCTCGAAAGTGGCGCCAGTTTCACAGATCGCAGCCCCCCAGGGATGGCGAGGTCCCATTTGAGTCCGCCTTGTGTACCCACTGTGCTGGGCCCCTCAGCAGGCTTCGAAAGTGGCGACAGTTTCACAGATCGCAGCCCCCCAGGGATGGCGAGGTCTAGTTTGAACCCGCGGTGACTATCCACTGTGCTGGGCCCCCCAGCTGGCTTCGAAAGTGGCGACAGTTTCACAGATCGCAGCCCCCCAGGGATGGCGAGGTCTAATTTGAGTCCGCGGTGGGTACCCAGTGCGCTGAGCCCCCCAGCCGCCCTCGAAAGTGGCGACAATTTCACAGATCGCAGCCCCCCAGGGATGGCGAGGTCCCATTTGAGTCCGCCGTGTGTACCCACTATGCTGGGCCCCCCATCAGGCCTCGAAAGTGGCGCCAGTTTCACAGATTGCAGCCCCCCAGGGATGGCGAGGTGCCATTTGAGTCCGCCGTGTGTACCCACTGTGCTGGGCCCCCCATCAGGCCTCGAAAGTGGCGCCAGTTTCACAGATCGCAGCCCCCCAGGGATGGCGAGGTCCCATTTGAGTCCGCCGTGGGTATCCACTGTGCTGGGCCTCCCAGCAGCCCTCGAAAGTGGCGACAGTTTCACAGATCGCAGCCCCCCAGGGATGGCGAGGTCCTATTTGAGTCCGCATTGTGTACCCACTGTGCTGGGCCCCCCAGCAGGCTTTGAAAGTGGCGCCAGTTTCACAGATCGCAGCCCCCCTTGAGTCCGCCCTGGGTACCCACTGTGCTGGGCCCCTCAGCAGGCTTCGAAAGTGGCGACAGCTTCACAGATCGCAGCCCCCCAGGGATGGCGAGGTGTAATTTGAGTCCGCCGTGTGTGCCCACTGTGCTGGGCCCCCCAGCAGGCTTCGAAAGTGACGACAGTTTCACAGATCGCAGCCCCCCAGGGATGGCGAGGTCCCATTTGAGTCCGCCGTGTGTACCCACTGCGCTGGGCCCCCCAGCAGGCCTCGAAAGTGGCGACAGTTTCACAGATCGCAGCCCCCCAGGGATGGCGAGGTCCCATTCGACTCCGCCGTGTGTACCCACTGTGCTGGGCCCCCCAGCAGTCTTTGAAAGTGGCGACAGTTTCACAGATCGCAGCCCCCCAGGGATGGCGAGGTCCCATTTGAGTCCGCCGTGTGTACCCACTGTGCTGGGCCCCTCAGCAGGCCTCGAAAGTGGCGACAGTTTCACAGATCGCAGCCCCCCACGGATGGCGAGGTCACATTTGAGTCCGCCGTGTGTACCCACTGTGCTGGGCCCCCCAGCAGGCTTCGAAAGTGGCGACAGTTTCACAGATCGCAGCCCCCCAGCTGGCACGCAGCGACGAGCGAGGCAAAAGGCAAGGGGGAAGAGAGGGGCGGGAAGGAGGCAAGGCGACGCGCGAGCAGTGCTCTATTCAAAACGAGAACCCAACGCAGGAGGGTTGGGAAAAAACCAAAGTAGGGCGGATCTGGAGTCAGGGTCGAGGAGCACCTCTTTGCTCACTCCGCGACAAAGGCACGCAGGAGATCCCGAGCGATGGCGAGGGGGGGGGGGGCCACGGCACGGCCCGGCCGGAGCGGGCGGGGCCCCTGGCTGGGCCGGGGCCGGGCTGGGGCCCAGACGCCCGGAGATGGTCGTGTGACGTTTTCGTTCCCGGCCCTCCCTGGTTGGGTATAGCCAGGCCCAGACATCGGGCGCCTCGAAGAGATCGAGGCAGAGGTTTTTCACAGTTTTTGGCCTCTCGGGGCCCTTTTGCCGGGCCTCGGGGCCGTCCACAAAACGATTCAGGATGAAAAACCGGTTCCAAGGAACTGGTCGGGGAAAATCGAGACGTCGGATGTATGGGGACCCCCTCGCGCTGCGAGAAAGTCACGACCACGGGTTTTTCGCTAGGTTCGGCCTCCAGGAGCCCTTCCCGGGCCTCGGGGCCGTCGAAGAAGGACTCAGGACGGACAGCCGATCCCGGGGAAGAGGTCCAGACCTCTGGGGGTCGGCGCTGTGAAGCAATCACGACGTCAGGGGTCTGGGTATTCGTTTTGACTAGAGCACTGTGGTCTCCACCTCCTCCTCCTCCTTTTCCTCGTCCTTTTCGTCGTCCCTCCTCCCTCCGCCCGCCTACTCCTGCCCTTGCCTCTTCCTTTATTCCCAGCCCTCCCTTGGTTGGGCATTCGTTTTGACTAGAGCACTGCTCGCACCTCCTTCGCCCTTCCCGCCTCCCACTTCCAGACGTCGACGATGTTTTTTTTGTTGGGAATTTGTTTCCTCTTTTCTTTTTTATTTGTGTGTGTGTGTGTTTGTGTGTGTGTGGCTGTGTGTGTGTGTTTTTTGGGTCGCCGCGTTTTTCGTTGCCTCTCGCCCCCCACAGCCTCCGGGGGCTCTGGCCGGGCCGCGTGACCGCAGGAGAACGGCCTGGGACGAGGCGCGATCGTTCCAGGTCGAGGGGCCCGCGCCGTGTCGGAAGCGCGCGCGCCCGCCGTGGGCCTCACAGGCCAAGCCAGGGGGGGGGGGGGGGGGGGGCGCACACACGCAGGCAGCACGCACGCACGCACGCACGCACGCACGCACGCACGCACGCAGCGCGCGCGCGCGCGCGCGCACGCACGCACGCACGCACGCGCGCGCGCGCGCACGCACGCACGCACGCACGCACGCACGCACGCACACACACACACACACACCACACACACACACACACACACACACACACACACACACACACACACACACACACACACACACACACACACACACACACACACACACACACACACACACACACACACACACACACACACACACACACACACACACACACACACACACACACACACACACACACACACACACACACACACACACACACACACACACACACACACACACACACACACACGCACGCACGCACGCACGCACGCACGCACGCACGCACGCACGCACGCACGCACGCACGCACGCACGCACGCACGCACGCACACACCGATCCCCGGCCAGGGATCGGTGCGCGTGCGAGAGGCAGCCGCCTCGGCGCGAAGCAGGGAGGGCCCCATGAGGTCGGGCTGCGGCTCGGGCTGCGGCTGCGGCGGGTCAGGCCGCGGCTCGAGCTCGGGCATCGGGGCTCTGCCTCGGGCTCGGGCGCGGCCCGACAGCGGCGAGCAAGAACCGCTAGGCCCATGGCCCTCGGGGCCCGTGCGTTTCACGGCGGCTCCCTCCCCGCCAGGAGGACTCCAGGCGGGCGGCCGCTCAGGCGCTCGAGGCGGCCCTGGCCCTCCAAGAGGGCGGGGCCTCGCTCGAGGAGGCGAAGCGGGTGGCCGTCGAGGCTCTCGGCGCGGTCGCCGTCCTCGTCGTCGTCCTCGTCCTCGTCGTCCTCGTCCTCGTCGTCCTCATCGTCGTCCGCGTCGTCCGCGTCGTCCTCGTCGTCCGCGTCGTCCTCGTCGTCCGCGTCGTCCGCGTCGTCCTCATCGTCGTCCTCATCGTCGTCGCTGTCGTCGTCGTCGTCGTCGTCGTCCTCGCCGTCGTCGTCGTCGTCGTCGTCGTCGTCGTCGTCGTCGTCGTCCTCGTCGTCGTCGTCGTCGTCGTCGGCGGCGTCGTCGTCGTCGAGGCGCTGAGGGCGGCCCTGGACCTGCAGCAGGCCGCGCGGGGCGGCGAGGGCGGCGAGGGCCTCGAGGAGGCGAGGACGGCGGCCGCGGAGGCGCTGGAGGCGGCCCTCGGGGGGCTCGAGGACGCGAGGCGGGCGGTGGCCGAGGCCCACGGCGCGGCGGTCGCCGTCACCTTTGCCGTGGCCGTCGTCGTCGTCGTCGTCGTCGTCGTCGCCGTCGTCGTCGTCGTCGCCGTCGTCGTCGTCGTCGTCGTCGTCGTCGTCGTCGTCGCCGTCGTTTTCGTTTTCGTCGCCGTGGCCGTCCTCGTCGTCGTCGTCGCCGTCGTCGTCGTCGTCGTTTTCGTCTTCGTTTTCGTCGCCGTGGCCGTCGTCGTCGGCGCCGTCGCCGTCGTCTCCGCCGTCGTCGTCGAGGCGCTGGTGGCGGCCATTGACCTCCAGCAGACCCCCCAGGGCGAGGGTGGCGGCCAAGGGACGGAGCTCGAGGAGTCGGGGGGGAGGAAGACTTGGCGCGCCAGCTCCCGTCGTGCTGGTCGCTGTGGGGTATCGCGAAGGCCTTGCGGCCAGTGCCGCCGACCCTGAAGGGGGACGACGACGACGACGACGACGACGACGACGACGACGACGACGACGACGACGACGACGACGACGACGACCACGACGACGACGAGGACGACGACGACGACCACGACGACGACGGCAATGACGACGACGGCAACGACGAAGACGACGACGAAGACGACGACGACGACGGCGGCGGCGGCGACGGCGACGGCGACGGCGGCGGCGGCGACTACGACGACGATGGCGGTGGCGGTGGCGACGGCGACGACGACGGCGACGGCGACGGCGACGGCGACGGTGGCGACGGCGACGGCGACGACGACGACGGTGGCGGCGGCGACGCAAAACATTCGGGGGGAGAACGACTTGGTGTGCTGGCTCCCGTCGTGCGTGTCGCTGTGGTATCTCGAGGGAGGACAAGCTCTGCAGCGCGCCCGGGGGGCGAAGGCAGAGGGGGCGGGCCCTCGCAGAAGGCGCAGAGCAGGCCTCCAGCCTGCTAAGAGGCCTTCCAAGCCTTCTCCGAGACCTCCGCCCCTCTCTGAGAAGGCCTGACCCCTCTCGCTTGCCCCCTCGGCGCGCCGCCGATCGCCGGCGCTTCAAGGGCGACAGGCGGCATACGAGCGGTCGACGCTGGGGCCGCCCCGGCCGCGCGGAGGGGCGTCCAGCGCCAGTCCGAGCGGTCCGCGCGGACCTCCGACAGTTTCTGTCTGCAGGCAGCCTGCAGATGCAGTGAGGCCGAGAGCAGCTTCCCGAGGCTGCCCCTGCGTCCTCCCCCGCGGCCCGTCCTTGGCCGCGTTCGCCGCCCGCGCCCCGCCCCGCAGAGCGTCGGCATGGCCTTCCGGGGCGCTTGCACCCTTCTTCTGCGTCCTCATCGTACGGGCGGCCCGTGTGCCCCTTCGGGGTCCTTCTGGTGCGCGGCTGGTCGGGCCCTGTGCCGATGCCAGGCCCGCGGTGCTTACGGTGTGGGCACTGGGTAAGGAAGTCAAAGTGTATAAGCAGCGTCCCCCTCGAGCCTCTCCGTTCCGTTGCCGCCTGTGCTCAAGGCGGCCAGGCAGTGCTTCTTTTCTCGTACTGATGAGGATATTGGCGCCGCTGCGCCCGGTGGAAAAGGTGATTCTCCTTGTAGCTACTGCGTGGCTGACGCCGATCCGCTCATTCGACCTTGGTAGCGGAGCCTCGGTCCATCGGCCGAGGCTTCACCGCGCGCTTCGCTGTTGGACGACCAGTTCCAGTTCGGTCATATCGAAGCTGGAGCTGCCTCTTCTCCCTCCCGACCGCCGAGGACACAGTTGTGAGGAGCAGAGCCCTGTCTGTGATAATTGTACTATGGCTTCATATATGGCGGACACCCTCACGTATGCTGACCAGGCTCAGATTATGGCCTCAATGAAAGTACCACCGGCGTGGTCGCCAGAATGGAGTTCACGTTATCCGTTTCGACGATGGCTTAGAGATGTCACATTGTGGAGTATAGCGACGGAGATACCAGAATCTGCTCAGGGTGCTGCCGTGGTGCTGCGTCTCGGAGGCGCGGCGAGAGAGTTCGCTGATGAGTTGGACGCGCAGATTCTACAGCAAGGGCAGATACTGGACCTGCAGGACGGTCTGGGTCCACGCCAGGTGACGGGTTTGGCAGTGCTGCTGCGGGCTTTGGCTCGCAACTATGCTCTTGAAGCTGGAGAGGACGCGATCAGGGCCATGGCTGAGATGATGGCGTTCTCGGTCCAGCAACATGAGACCATCGATGTGGCTCTGAACCGGTTCCAGGTGCTCAAGTCCCGTGCGATTGATCATGGATTGAATCCTGGACCTTCCGGCTGGGCCTGGATGCTTATGACGGGCCTGCGAGTACAACCAGACGAGTGGCTACACTTGCTTGGTATGTTCGACAACAGGCTGCCGCAAGATGAAGAAGAGTTTAGTCGCTTGATTCAAAGTATACGCCGTCGTGGTCATGTTCTTATGCAGGATGGCATCATGAGAGCCGCTGAGAGGGCAGTGCGCATTCCTGGTGCAACGGCCCATCCAGCGCACGCCGACTTCGGCAAAGGCCGACATTTTATGACAAAGGATGCCGTCCAGGGTTTCTTCCCGACGTTTGGAGAGGTCAACCAGTGGGGAGGTTTCTTTCCCGCTTCAGCAGCGCCGCCGGCGGCATCGTGGTCATCTGCAGGTGCGGCTGCTGCATCGCCTGGAGTCCAGAACGTGTATTTTGATGATGATAATGCTTCGACCAGTGGCACCGACTACTTCGATGAGGGCCCTCAGGACCTAGCCGCTTACCTTGCTGACGTAGACCCAGAGATGCATGGTGATGTTCTACGTCATGAATATATCATGTCGAGACGACGTTGGAGGCAGTTCAGTGGACGACCCTCTCGATTCCATCGTCGCCATGGTCGAAAAGGTTCCAAGTATGGTGGCAAGAATCGTGGTCGGGGCTTGCTTGGCAAAGGTTTTCATTACGAACATGATCCGACCGCTGCTGTGGCAGCTTCCTCCGTGCCGAGTACTGCTCCCAGCTTCGTGGGCTCGGCATACCAGACAGGCAAGAAAGGAGGAAAGAGTTTCGGCGGGGGTGGAGGAGCTGGCACTAGCAAAGGCAATCCCCGTGATGCCCAGGGTAATGTGCTTCGTTGTCATGTGTGCAATAGCGATCAGCATCTCGCCAGAGAGTGCCCGCAGAAAGGAAAGGGCGCTCGCACCTTCGTCACTCACGAAGATGGTCGTGGCTACGACGGTGGCGGAGGCGGATACGGCGGGGTCTCACCTGGCAGTGCTGGGGGAGGCTGGTTCGCCACGGCGGCTGACGTGCACAAGCAGCTGGCGCTGGAGGACGAGACGTTCGACGGCTGCGAGGACTGTTCGGATAACTGGCACGAATACGACGGGGATGATGACTGCTACGACAACGAAGGTCTGCCCGGGGGCAAGAACCGCAAGGGCAAGGGCAAACGAGACATAGGCAAGGGCCCCGATCGACAGCGTGGTGGATCTCAGGCTCAGACCATGCAGCTGAGCAGCATATTGAGTTCGAAGATGTACCAGCGCCAGATCCATGCTGACGAGGAGGCCGCCTTGATTGTCAAGCGTGCAGCTGCAGTGGCAGCACCCAAGTCTTACATGCCGCCACCTCCTCACCAACCTCCAGAGTTGAGAGAAGTGGCGCCGATCGCACCTCCTCCTGCTCGTGATTCGTCGGTGCCGTTGGCGGCCAGTGCTGCAGCTGTCGTTTCGCCTTTCTTGCATAAGAATACAGGCAGACAAGGTTTGTTCTTCCCGACTCAGGAGCGCAGCCGTTCACTCACTCGACAGCGTCTTGGAGCCTGGCACGCTCGCACACGGTTGCCTGACGGCCGCGAGGCCTTGTTGGTGGACCCGGGGGCTCACGACAACTTGACTGGCAGTGAGTGGTTCAAGCGTGTTTCTGATATCTGGGCTCGCCGCGGTGTTGAGGTTGAGTTCAGGAAGATGGATAGGCCGATTGGAGTGGAGGGTGTTGGCAACAATGCTGATGCCTGTATCAATCGAGGTCGGGTTCCTCTTGCACTTGCTGGTGGTGAAGAAGGTAGCTACGACGCTCCCATCGTGCCGAACTCTTCAGTGCCGGCTTTGCTGGGCAACAAGGCCTTGCGTCGCAATCGAGCCATTGTGGACTGCTTCAACGGAATCTTGTACTTCATCGGTCCTGGTGATCACCAGCTTCTGCTCCCCCCCGGCTCAAAGGAATATCAGCTGGAGCTTTCGCAGTCAGGTCATTGGATGCTTCCAGTGACGGAGTTTGAGGACCAGAATATCGGCCAGATCAGCGCGAGCTCCAGGCCTGCTGACAACGCTGGTCTGCATCTACTCCATTCATCCTCTTCCTGACGGGGCGGCAGCGTGACTTCGAGCGCCGTAGACTCGGCACGGCGTTTGGATCCAGGTCGCGCAGCTGAAGTATTGCCGAGCAGAACTGGTACTCTTTCGACCTTGAGTGCAGCTACCCTTGCCAGTGGGTTACCTCGTGCGCTCCCTCCTCATCCCAGTCCAACGGCTGCGGCCGAAGTTGCACAATACCAGGTCGGGTCTGCGGATGCGGTCCGCAGTGATGGCGAGCCTGCTGAGTCTGAGCTTTCGACCTCGACTTTGGCGGCCTGGCCACGAAGTGTTCCTGGAGTCCGTGAGCTTCCATCCTCCGGTACTTCGGCACAGCCTTCGACGCTGCCTGCATCCCCTCTGGGTGTCACGTGTGGTCCTGACGTCGCCTGTCCTGTGGTCAAAGCACCTCCGGCGGCTTCGTTGGCATTTCAGTCTCGTGCACCTGTTGAGCATGGACCTCATCCTTTGGAGGTTCCCAATTTGAGTGCTGACTTGGCGCCCTTGCCGTCTGATGAGAATTTGGTATCCCATTTTGGTGTGCCTTCTGTCGTCACCTTGATGTTCGTCGACGATTCTGACGACCTGGTGCGGCAGCATACTTTGCATGAGAAGCTGGCTGCTGCTGGTATCGTGTCTACGGCAATGGCTTTAAGGTCTAAGGAGATGCTGACCACCGCCGCCATGGACCGAGCCAGCAAGACACTACGTGAACGGTGCCCTGCCTTGCTGTGGGTGACACCCAAGGGTACAGCGCTGGGCGGCCCTACTCGACATGATCGCCGGCGGAGCTATGCTGTGGCGTCTTTGGTCCAATGGCAGCTGAACGCCGAACGCCCGGTCATAGTCGAAGCCAGTGCAGCATCTTCTGTCTGGGAAGTTGGTGGCTGGGAGCAGATGTGCAACGATTGCCGCCTCAGCCGTCACACTGTCAGGTGGTGCCGATGTGGTATCACGAATTCTGCTTCTGGATTGCCAAGCCGTCGGGTTTCGAAGCTGCTATCCAATCTTGTCCTGTGTGCAGACTACGACACCTGCAACTGTCCTCAACATCATCACCCGCA